TCCTAAACTATCTTTTAATTTACTAACTGTCACAATATCCTTGGATCTATACATTTGTATATTTTATATTAATGAGCTAGAATCAGGGCATGCAAAGCAGGAAAGAAAAATAATCTTTCTTTGTCACTGAGTCAGTTTGCAATCTCAATCTTTTCAGATCTCTATATTGGTATTACATATCTTATCACATAGGATATTTCTCTTTTTTTTGTATTTTTAAATAAAATGGAGATATTTCACATCCAGCTTTACTGTGAAAATGAGGCCTAAATAATACTAAGTTTTTCAGTTCTTTTTTTTTATTTGAAAGGTGTACACTATATTCTTAGCAAGCCTTTCTACCTTTTAGATATTCTTAGGAGTAATAGGTTCCTTTGATGGAATGTGTATTTCCTGTGAATGTTACACACACACAATGAGAGAAAAACCAATTTCACCTTAGTTTAGCTTCAGAATAGTTCTACAGTTAAGTAAGTTCTGATATTTAAGATGCAATTATTGTTTACAAAGTTTGTAATTTTTATTTTCTTGTTACATTATCTAAATTAGGAAATGGTTAAAAAAATATTTTGGCTTTAGTCTAGGAAATGAGGCATAATATGATAGAAGATTATGCTTTTAATATTCTGATGGAGGATAGAATTCCAGAAAAAAAAAAATTCCTCTTTATGCTGTTATTATTGTTAGTCGCCACTGAAACTAGAGAAGATGAAATGCTAGTTAGTGCAAATTGGGAGTTGGATTTAGTGAATTCAGTGACTGCTACAGGGTTTTGTTGTTGTTGTTGTTATGTGCTGTTGAGTCGGCCCCAACTCATAGCGACCCCTCCTTGGGTTTCAAAGGTAGTTATCACTACAGAAGTAGGATTGCCCAACCTTCCTTCCGAGGAGCGGCTACAGGGTCAGATGTCTCAAAATCAAGTTCCACAAATAAAACTAGGAATGCCCTTTTGTAAAATGCTAACTTGCCTACATTCTATATTTGGATGTTCCCAGTGGCACAATGGTTAAGTGCTTGGCTGCAGACATAAAGGTTAACAGTTTGAACCCACCCAGACACTTCACAGGAGAAAAGACCTAGAAATCTGCTCCTGCAAAGATTCCAACTCATAGTAGCCTCCAGTTTCCCAAAGCTGAAAAGCAGAAGTAGATTGCCTCTTCCTCCCACAGAGCAGCTGGTGGGTTGAACTGTCAACCTTCTTGTTAGTGGTCAACTGCCTTACCCACTAGACCACCAGAGCTCCTTTAAAGATTATAGCCTGGAAAATTCTATATGTATCACAGTTCTACTCTGTCCTATGGGGTCATTATACGTTACAATAAGCTCCTTAACGTCTAAAAACAATAATAAGCTAATTGCATCGGTCATACAGCCACTGACTTATGCTTTCAAAAACAACACCCTGAGGAAATGATTCTTAACTTTCAAACCTAAAGTTAAACAGACAGAATACTTACTTGTGCTTTTGAATGTCTTTCACTCCATTTTTCAAATTCCCTAATCTCTCTGATGGATTATCCCTAAAAAGAAAATAATAATTGATAAGGAATTTACTTTATTTTTCTTTTATATTATGTTCATTTCAAAAATAATGTGGGTGGAATTCTTACCTGCATAGTTTTTTAATTAAATTAGCAGCATTTTTGGCAATCTTCTTTGGAAATTCTATCATATCAATCCCCCTCAATATGATATTGTAGGTTTTCATAGGATCTGGGCCTGAGAAAGGTGGGCTGCAAGAATCAAAGATAGGAAAAGAGATTTTATTTTGATTTTCTAATTAAATTTAATTGTTATAAACTCCACAAATGACATCAATTCCTATTTGGGGGTATACATTACTAGTGATACACAGAAGAAAACTGCATTAATAGCAAAACAGCATGGAATCCCTTCTGAGCACAACCACGAAATGGGTCCAGTTTGTCTGCTGTGCCTGCCATTTCTCTTTGGTGCCGCTGCCTACCGTCTTGTCTCCTTGCTGTCCTCGTCATTCAAGATGCTACTTTCACTCTGGTTCTCCACTACTTTCTCACACTTATTCACTTACTGATTATGCTTGAGATGAAGTAAAAAATCCTTAGGATGGGCTACAAGGACATCAGTGTTATGACCCCATTTCATGCCATTACCACCCTCACTCACTGGATCCAGTCACAATGTATGTCTGTTCCTCTAAAAAATCAAGCATTTTCCCACCACAGGGTGTTGTCTATGGCTCCCAGAATATTCTTTTTCTCCATGCTTTATCGGACCAATACACCGTTTATCAAGTCCAAGCTTAAGTATTATATTGCTTCCTCAGAAAGGACCACTCTCATCAGCCTGGTATAACTGGTCCTATAACCTACATCAAGCAGGCATCATCTAATAATCTAATCTAATCCACAAATTTAAACTTAATTTTAGAGTACTCTGTCCCACTCTTTTCTAATAGCACCCTGCATGCCACTTTGCAATGGTATCTTCATTTGTGTGATTATTTGTTTAATATCTGTTTTCCCTTCTAGAGTAAGTTTTATTCTCCACTGGCATTCCTGGAGTCTAACAGAGTTCCTGAGGAGCCCTAGTGGTGCAATGGTTAAAGTGCTTAGTGGCTGACTGAAAAGTTGGCAGATGGGACACTGCAGTGGCTCCATGGGAGAAAAGACCTGATGCTCAGCTTCCATTGAGACTATAGCTTAGGAAACCCTACAAGGCAGTTCTACTCTGTGCTGTAGGATCTCCATGTGCTGTAATCGACTAGATGGCACACAACAATAGTAGAATCCCTGGCGGCACAAAGGATCTACACTCAACTGCTAACATCAAGGTTGGAGGTTTGAGCCCGCCCAATGGCACTACAGAAAAAAAGGCCTGGTGATCTGCTTCCTTGAAGATTTCAGCCAAGAAAACCCAATGGAGAGACTCAGCAACAACAGGTTTGGTTTAGGAGAGTGCCCAGCATATAGTAGGAGGTGAATAAATGTTTGGTGAATGAATGATTCTGTATACTAGTGCTTTTCCTATACTTCTCTCCCTGTCCATCAATCTTGAGCAGGTAATCTAAAGCAAGGCTAGATTATCTATTAGAAAAGGTGAAATGCCCGTGTCAGATTTGTTGATGTTTCTACCTATCCATCCGTAGAGTATGTACTCGTGCCAAGGCCAGGGAATACAGAGATGACTATAGTCAGATTTCTCACAGTTCAGGGATTATGGTGTACTGAAGCAAATAATTTATTTAGAAATTATTTCCCTAATACAGGGTTCATTTCTTTTGGTGGAAGAAATTATACAGATTTTCTTTTTTTGTCCTTCATATATAGTACATGGATATACACTAGAAGTTCATAATGCTTGTATATTTATACATAACAGCAGTTCAAACTATCTTCTTTTACCTAGCACACTAAAAACACTGAGTTGCTTGAAACAAGGAGTAGTAGATTTGCTTGTGCTAAGGGCTATGGAGGGAGCTCTGACACCGTAGTGCCTAAAGGCACTTGTCTGCTAACCAGAAGGCTGGCGGTTCAAACCCACCAGCCACTCCTCAGAAGGAAGGTTGGGCAATCTACCTCCGTAGTGATACTGCCTCGGAAACCCAAGGAGGGGTCGCTATGAGTCGGCTCCAAGTCGACGACACATAACAACAACACAATAAGGGCTATGGCAATATCTTGAGTTTTTATCCCTATTTCCTGTGATAAGTACTTTTCACCTATTTAATATGTCACTAACTAGTAATTGTCTGTTTTAACCCACTTTTCCAAATATGTGAATGTGCAATTCCTTTGATTTAGTATTCTTTTAAAATTAAAAAAAAAAAAAAATCTTTATGTGACGTTATGGTTGAATACTTTCTTTCTCTGGTTCATTTGTCAGTTTTGACTTTTACTGTAAAAATGAGAAAGAACTACATCTTAGAAGTATTTATCAAGTTAATGTTTTTCTAATAACATTTTTGCTTTTATATTCATCAGTTTATCTTAGAAAGAAAACAAAAATCAATTATTAAAGATTGACTAGTGGTTTTTAAAATATTAACCATCTTCAGCATGAGATATTCATATAATACATAGAACATATGAAAGTACTTCAAAGAGAGTAAAAATTATACAACACCTCCAAATAACAATAGCCAACATTTGTTTAACATGTCATACATGTAGATGGAGATATATAGGATTATACAGCTTTTAAAAATAATAAAAAAATACCCAAAAAACAAAAAAGTATTTAATAATTTAACTAGAAGTTACCAGAGAAGTAAAACTGAAGGACTGCTGAACTTCAAATATGTGTTTCTTCACAAACAATATTAATTCTTCAAAGAGCTCTCTAAAGTTAATTTTAAAAAGACTAAGTAAACTTTAGGAGCTCTGGTAGCATAGTGCCTAAGGCACTTGACTGCTAACCAGAAAGCTGGTGGTTCAAACCTACCAGCAACTCCTCGGAAGGAAGGTTGGGCAGTCTACTTCTGTAGTGATACTGCTTTGGAAACCCAAGGACGGGTCTGACTCAATGGCAAAATAACAACAAGAAGAAAACTTTGAATATGGAGCTTTCTTTTTAAAAAACTTTTTTTTAACAAAATGCATCTACTCTAAGAATATTTGTGTGGTCAATAAAAGCAAAAAACCAAACCACTGATGTCAAGTCAAGTCCTACTCAGAGCCATCTTATAGGACAAAGAACTACCCCATAGGGTTTCCAAGGCTGTAATATTTACAGAAGCAGATGGCCACCTCTTCCTCCTACAGAGTGGCTGGTGGGTTCAAACTGCCAACCTCTTGGTTAGCAGCCAAGTACTTTTACCATTGTGCTACCAGGGACCCTTGTTGTTTTCATTAGGCATGGGCAAGTCCTTGTTAGTACCCTCAAGTTAACCTTGACTCAGCATAACCCCATGTGTCAGAGTAGAACTGCCCCATAGGTTTTCTAGGTTATAATCTTTATTGGATCAGATTGCCAGGTCTTTCTCCTGTGGAGCAGCCAAGTGGGTTCAAACTGCCAACCTTTAGGTTAGCAGCCGAGTGCTTGACCATAGTGTAACCAGGGCTTAGCTAGCATTTATCAAGGATCCCTGGTGGTGTATACAGTTAAGTGCTTTGGTGGTAACCAAAAGGTTGGCAGTTTGAACCCACCCACCTGTTCCATGGGAGAAAGACCTGCAGATCTGCTTGCCAAAGAGTACAGCCAAGAAAATTCTATACAGTAGTTCTGCTCTGTCACATGACGTCGCTGTGAGTTGAAATCAACTCGATGGCACTTAACAACAATATCTATGCTCACTACTGGACAGACACTCTTCTACGTGCTCATATACTTCCTGTGTCCTCACAAAGAACCCTGACGCTAAATGTCCTAAATCATTCTCGTTTTTACCATAGCTGCTTACTAAGACCTCTTAAGAAATTCATTGCTTCACAATGTATTCACAATTGTCCCTTTCTCTCCATTACCCCTATCCTATTCCAGACTCTCAACTTCCTACAAGAATTATTGCAATGACCTTCAAATTAGCTTCCCCGATTCTCTTTGATTTCACCCTACACATTATTGCCAGCTTATTTTTCCTTGAATGGCACATGCCATTCTTTTGGCAAGAAATGCTCAATGATTCCCTCTCTGGATGGAGTCTAAACACTCAAATGCAGCAACTGCAATTCTCAAAATATGGCTATTGCTAATACCTTATTATTTTCTTACATGAACCTTCACCATGTCTATGCCCACTACTGCCCTCTGTTTAAGTCATGCTTCTCTGCCTGCAATACCCTTTCACTTGCTCTCTACTTCTAAATCCTCATCTTCCCTTAAGGCTCAACTGCAGTCTCATTTTCCCTAAAACCCTCCGTTGGGGTTTTAGTTCAGAGAAACTTCTTCTGAACTCTGTAGGTCATGATGATTGCTTCACTCATGTCATGGGGGTATATTAGTTTCTCTTTTTGTATTGCTAAGTTATTAAGCTTATAGTCTGCCTCATATTGCATGGTAACCCTAGTCCCTTTTTTGGTTGTTATGGGTTATAATGTGATTACACACAATTGCTACAAAGTATCTACATTTCATTTAGCCACAGCAGTTGCCTAACAGGTGCTCTTACTTCTATAGGGAGTTGATCCTAGATATGTATAAGGTTTTCATCTCCCTTGCTTTATTACTGACTAAATGGCTAGGCTCCATGATCTCAAAGAAAAACACTGGATCATTCCACAATTCATAGATATATAAAGAATTGTAATGAGTAATGATACTCAGAGTTGATGTTGAGTTGGTTACCTTCATCTGGCCCATTTTAGGATTTGCTTTATGAATTCCTTGTCATTTGTATAGCAAATTAAAGTCATCTCTGAGATGTGGTAAAATGCACTTTAAGATGGTCTAATCAGAGTGACAAAGGCAGAAATGTGTGGTTGTTTGCTGGTTAACTGTTACCAGCAGTTCCCTATCAATGTCCATACCTGCCAGTCAGAAGTTCATACATTAGGATTCCCAGGGACCAATAGTCAGCTGAAATGTCATGACCTTTGTTCAGGATGATCTCTGGGGCTACATACTCTGGAGTTCCACAAAAAGTCCATGTTTTTTTTCCAAATCCTATTTTCTTTGCAAAGCCAAAATCAACCTTACAAAGAAAGAAAAACAAAATATTTCAAGCAACTTAGGATCAAGCTTAAAAGCAATAAGCTACTTTGCTAGAGTACATTGATGATAATTTAAAAAATAAAATCAGATGTAAATTATTATAATCTTATTTTGGATAAGGAATCATCTATATTAAACAAAGCTTCTCTGATCAAACTCAATTTAAATGGGAGAAATTACAACTTGCGTATAAGACGAAATTCATATCATTTTTCCTTCTTTTATGCTAACAGAGGTAGGGCAGAAACAAAGAATTTCTTTTTCACTCAAAAATTTTAAAAGATGAGATGGGTTTGCTTAATCTTTCCTAGAATAAACATGGTATCTGTTGACTTCATGAAGTTAACAACTCATTCAGTATTAATTATCTGAGAAGCCATGTTACTGCTGAAGGAGCTGAGTAACAAAACTATGGGGGAAAGGCTGTTCCTTGGTAGACATAAACAGAGATAAAATGAAAGTACACCCTTTAGTTTCTAGAAGCCTTTTAAGGAGGAGACTCAAATACAGAAAATCTATTTTTTTTTTTCTCTAAAACAATTTCACTTTGAATACAAACAATTAACTGTAATTGAGTTTATTTTCTGAAAACATATGATAAATAAAAATCCATGTTAGAAAACAAAATCACATACTGACAGATCCAACTCCCATAAAAGCTTGTGCTTTTTTTTTTTTTCAAATAAGAGAATTTCCTTTCCATAGTAACCCTTTAGAGTGACTGATCTATTATGATTATTATTAACAAAGTGTGGATAACATTGCCTGCAAAGTCCATTTTTCCCAGTTAGAAATATTGTTAAGGTAAACATATTAAAATGATTGATGGTTTTCCATAATATAAATACTTATTCCCTTTGGATGGCAGAACCCTGACTGGGAAGAGTCCTTCTAAGAAGTTCTTTTAGGTCTATGAATACATGTCAGCAAGTATGAGTCTATTCAAGCATGCTTTGGCTGCGTATTATTAATTCAAACATAATCAACTTCAATTATAACTTTTGCATAATTCGAAAATATAATTAGTTGACATTAGTAACACTAAAACCTGCTTTTAAGAAAATATCTCATATTGAAAAAGAAAAACAAAATTTTAATATTAACAAAATGAACACAGCTCTATAAACTCACATTTTAAAACTTGAGGGCAGAAACCATTTGTAAAAAAGCACTAACCAGTTTGGCATAACCTCGATGATCAAGGATGAGGTTTTCTGGCTTGAGGTCCCTGTAAATGATTCCTTTGGAATGCAGATAGGCAAAAGCTTCTACCACACAAGCTGTATAAAATCTGGTTGTAGAATCTTCAAATGAACCTCTAAAGATACAAAAAAATGGAGTGGAAAGTATATAAAATAATTTCTGTAAAAGGATTTTTTTTTTCTCATTCAACTATACTCCTGGGCCACAATTTAACCACAGGGAACAATGTTCTACTGGCCCTATGTCACGTGATTGACATTGCAGTGGGATTGTAAAAGCATTCAAGAATCAAGACAAGGAATTATATACCCTTTTGAGTGGGCTTGTGTAATCTAACTTCCTGAAAGGAGTGAAGAGTCTAGTGACACGCTGCATTTCATGTGCATAAAGCTTCCTCTCACCAGGCCACTGTTGTTGTTGTTGTTATGTGCCGTCAAGTCAGCCCTGACTCATAGCGACCCCTCCTTGGGTTTCCGAGGCAGTATCACTACGGAAGTAGGATTGCCCAACCTTCCTTCCGAGGAGTGGCTGATGGGTTTGAACCGCCAGCCATCTGGTGAGCAGTCAAGTGCCTTAGCCACTATGCTACCAGAGCTCCTCACCAGCCCACTAGCAATACGAAAAGGCACAGAGTTACAGCAGCCAATGTCATGAGAGAGAAGGGATATTTTTTAGGCCTCATCTACCAAGGGTTTGTTTTATGAAAGACAAGCTTATGGGTTTCATCACACTTATTTTTAGAGAGCTTATTTTTTAAATTTTTCTAAATAACGTAGGTATGTTTCATGAGAATGTGAGTAAAATGAATGTTTTCAAAGAACCACTTTGGAAATGAGTTGTGATGCAACTGATGCAATGTTAATGCAAGTTAAGTATTCTTCTGTTTGAGAAACTTCTATGTCAGCAAGACAAGCAACATATAATTCCCATACTCCTAGTTTCTTATTAGTAGGAAAAGATACTTATTAGTTAGAAAAGAAAAGCAGGGACTAAAGATACCTGGAAGGATAATGGAAAGGGAATATCTGTTAGTCAACTTGATTACAATGTTTAGCAAGAAAGCTCTCTTCCTGTCTTTCTCTCTCCCTTTACTGATAAGTATATACGTATATTTGTTAATGAAATTTAAAAAAAGAAATTTGGCATCTAAGTTTAAATCCTTGAGTTGTAGAGCAGAACCTTTATGCTTTAGCTGTTTTATTCATGGAATTCCTTAAACAGATATATGATACTCTTTTTCTCTTTCTCAGCTGGAGAATGTAGTTTAATCTTTCCATGGGAATTTACGAACATTAGTGTGAACATCAGCCCTAGGAGGTGCTGTGCTGTAACATGAGATAAGCTCATAGAAGTTTTACATCATGTACAAGAGACGGTAATCCTGAAGTTGCTTTCATGAGTATGCCTGATACCACTTTTATTGGTAACGTTTGCTTCTTTGTCAAAAATGACGAGGAAAGTCTAACTGGTCAGTGGAATATGGCTAGATTTATTTTTATTTTTAACAAACTTCAGCAGTGAACCCAAAACATCCACATTTCAGGTCATTTTTCAAAAGTAAACTATAGTGTCTTCTAGATAATTATATTCTTCATTTCAACTACTGATTTTCCCTGACTTATCACTGAAATAATTAGCTCTTCCTCCCATAAATACTTTTCTTCTGAACTGTAATTCAGTAAGATATAATGATATCTACTCTTCTAGATACCAAAATCATAGCTCTAATCATAACTAAGTTTTTAGTACTTGTATTCAACAAACAAAATTCTGAATGGAACAAGTATGAATTTGTAGGAACAAGAAAAATTTCTTTGACAAGAATTGCATCATAATAGAGACTGAAGTATATACTTCAGGCTGCAAGAGTCCTTTGGTTTTGAGTTTTACTTGGCAGAGCTTAAAGTATATAATCCTATATTGAGAAAAGAGATTGAAGAAGTGCCTTGAATATTCCTTTTTTGTCCTTAATTAAGTCAAGATAACAATGTTTGTCTATAAAAGTAACATTTCTTTCAATTGGAGAGTTAATTTACTTTAAGTAGTATGCATTCTTGTATATATAATTAACATACAGCTTTAAATGCATTGAATGTATGTATAATTTTAAACCCCCCTGCTTTGTCTTTGGTAAGGCAAAGCAAAACAAAACAAAACAAACAAATTGTACTTGGAATAGAACCTTGTCTTGTTTTTAGTACATGTCTTGTTTTAATTAGAAAATGATTACTAACTTGTAGCAAGACTGCCTAACTATGATTGAGTGGGTCTTTTTGAAAACCTACAAATTCTTGATTACTCTTAGAAGAAATTATTTTTCCAGTTGTGTCTCTGAACATTATTTCTCTCTTTTTGTCTTAATATTAGATTGTTAATGGGCCCACATGGATAAATACATTGTTAAAGTTGTAATTTTTTGGCCAACATGATATTGGTGTTGGTGAAGAATATTCAATATACATGAACTGCCAGAAGAACAAACATATCTGTCTTGGAAGAAGTATAGCCAGAAACTCCTCTGAAGTGAGGATGGCAAGACTTTGTTCCATGTTCTTTAAGGACATCCCTCTTGGAGTAGAGGGCCAGTAAAAAAGAAGATGACCCTCAATGAGATGGACTGACACAGTTGATGACTGCAGGACTGGGCAATGTTTCATTCACGGGGTTGCCATGAGTTGGAACTGACTCAATGACACCTAACAACAACAGTAATGTAATGAGAGTAAACATTTGTGTGAGGGATATATTTCTGAAGAAATCCCTGCTGAATGGTATATTTACATTTGGAATAACTTAGTTATCAGCAGAGAGATAGGAAAACTCCTAGCACAAACTCAAATTCATTAGAGGGTGCTATAGGTTAGGAATATGCATTCTACGGCAAGAATTCTAGGCTCAAATCCAGCTTCACTTACTGCTGATCTTGAACAATTTACTATAGCTCCCTGGGCCTCAGTGTTTTCATGTGCCAAATGATGTTGTTAATAGTAACTATCTCCTAAGCTTGCTGTGAGGATTCAAAAAACTGATACATGTAATTGAAACAAGTGCCTGGCACATACGTAGTATTTAATACATACTGCTTGGAACAGCTGAGGGAGACCAGGAAGCGACCTGGCGGCAGTTTGGAAGAGCTAAGGGAGACAAACTTGTCTGTCAGTTTGTTGTACTGTGGCGGCTTGTTTGTGCTGTGAGACTGGAGGCTATGCTACTGGTGTTTCAAATGTCAGCAGGGTTACTCATGGTGGACAGGTTTCAGCGAAGCTTCCAGAAGAGAGACTCAAAAGAAGGAAGGGGCCATCCACTTCTCAGAGAATTGGTCAGTGAAAACCTTATGAACAGGAGTGAAACAGTGTCTGATATATTACTGGAAAACTTTATGAATAGCCCTAAAACACTGTCAGATATAGTGCCAGAAGTTGAGCCCCTCAGGTCAGAGGGCACTCCAATACAACTGGGGAAGAGCTGCCTCCTCAGAGCTGACGTTAATGATGTGATAGAGTAAAGCTTTCAGAACCTCCATTTGTTGATGTGGCATGACTCAAAATGAGAAGAAACAGCTGCAAATATCCATTAATAATTGGAACATGGAATGCATGAAGTATAAATTTAGAAAAATTAGAAGTTGTCAAAAATGAAATGGAATGCATAAAGATTGATATCCTAGGCATTAGTGAGCTGAAATGGACTGGTTTTGGCCATTTTGAATCAGACAACCATATGATCTACTATGTCGGTAATGACAAATTGAAGAGGAATGGCATGACATTCATCATCACAAAGAATGTTTCATGATCCAGTACAAGTATGATGCTGTCAGTGATAGGATAATATCCATCTGCCTACACGGAAGACCAATTAATACTAGCATTATTCCAATTTACGTACCAACCACAAAAGCCAAAGATGAGGAAGTTGAAGATTTTTACCAACTTCTGCAGTCTGAAATTGACCAAACATGTAATCAAGATGTGTTAATTATCACTGGTGAATGCAATGCAAAAGTTGGAAACAAGAATCACCAGTCAGAAAATACAGCCTTGGTGATAGAAACAATGGAGATCTCATGATAGAATTTTGCTAGACCAACAACTTATTCATTGCAAATACCTTTTTACAACAACACAAACAGCAACTATACATGTGAACTTCACCAGATGGAGTACACAGGAATTGGGTCGACTACATCTATGGCAAGAGGCAATGCAGAAGTTCAATATCTTCAGTCAAAACAAGGGCAGGAGCTAATTGTGGAAGAGGCCATCAACTGCTCATATGCAAGTTCAAGTTGAAGCTGAAGACAAAAGAAGTCCACAAGAGCCAAAATATGACTTTGATTATATCCCTCCTGAATTTAGAGACCATCTAAGGGATAGATTTGATGCATTGAACACCAATGACAGAAAATCAGATTAATTGTGGGATGACATCCAGAATATCATCCATAAAGAAAGCAAAAGGTCATTATAAAGACAGGAAAGAAAGAAAAGACCAAAATGGATGTCAGAAGAGACTCCGAAACTTGCCCCTGAATGGAGAGTAGCTAAAGCACATGGAATAAATGACAAGATAAAAGAGCTGAACAAAAAATTTTAAAGGGAAGCTCAAGAAGACAAAGTCAATTATTATAATGAAATGTGTAAAGACCTGGACTTAGAAAAACAAAAGGGAAGAACACACTCAGCATTTCTTAAGCTGAAAGAACTGAAAAAAAATTCAAGCCTTGAGTTGCAATATTGAAAGATTCTATGGACAATATATTGAATGATGCAGGAAACAGCAAAAGAAGATGGAAGGAATACACAGAGTTACTGCACCAAAAAGAATTGGTCAATGTTCATCCATTTCAGGAGGTGGCATGTGATCAAGAACCAACGATACTGAAGAAGTCGAAGCTGCACTGAAAGAATTGGCAAAAAGCAAGGCTCCAGGAACTGACAGACTACCCAATGAGATGGTTCAACAAATGGATGTCACACTGAAGGCACTCACTCAGCTATGCCAAGAGATTTGGAAGATAGCTACCTGGCTGACTGGAAGAGATCATATTTGTACCCATTCCAAAGAAAGGGAAACCCACAGAATGTGGAAATTATTGAACAATATCATTACTAT